TGTGTAACAACTAAAAACTGAAAGTTTGTCTGATAAATAATTGAACAAAATGTACCTAGATACCCACTTTCTTTATTAGGACGGCAGTATGGATGCAATAGCTCTTTCTCGGTAAAAACTTTATATCTTGACATGCTTCTAAAATATGCAAATATACTAAAAAATGCTTTGTTGAATACTCAGGTGAGTGTAATATTAAAAATGCATGTAGGTACTTATTAGTCATATTGAAGAATGTCTTCAGTTTTTGTGAGGAAAGCTTAGGAACTTGGATGGAACAGGGGGGAGAATCTGTTTATAGAGAAGTTTAAAAGTACTGGAGCAAATATAAAATTAATTAAAAAATCCAAGATAACATGAAAATTTAAGGCAAGCAGAAATCGATTTTGCTTTAAATAATCTTAGATATTTATTAATTTTGTATGTAAGTACATTACAAATTACATAGGAAGAGTGGTTCCATCTATCGCGATTAGCTCGAAACCAGCAAAGAAAATGCAAACTTACAAGTCACTGTAGAATAAATTCATGTACATAACCTATAATATAACAAGTCAAACGTCAAACCTGACAAAATGTCGCAAACTCGATAAGTTCAATGTACACAATTATTAAATGCTTGAAAAAAAATACTACCTATAAGGGTATTTTTCAAAAAGTTGGCCAAAATAGTATAATATAACATGTCAAACGTCAAACCTGACAAAATGTCGCAAACTCGATAATTTCAAAGTACAGAATTATTATGGTTGAAAAAAAATATAGTATAAGGGTATTTTTCAAAAAGTTGGCCAAAATAGGAATTTTACTAAAAAAATTCTAATTATTATAAATTAGATATATTACATATTATTTCTATAGAATATTAATCAAATATTGAATATTTTATGCTTGTCATACATGATACGAACTAGATTGTATTTTTTACGAATTTTCATTGTAGGAAGAATAAATGTTGTTTTTTCCGTGACGCCAAAATAAAGGGCATTACAAATATAAATTTAATTTTTTTATTTACATTTTTTATTATACTGTCTTCGATAATTATTTTCTACTGTTTTACTTTTAAAATATCAGTCTCTTCTTCCTTTTTAAGAATAATTTGAAAATTTCCTTTAACGATTTCATCTTCATTCTGTGTGTTTAAAATTTTCTCAAAATATAGTTTTTGGGTGATAAAACCAAAATGTTCATGTTTGACGCACATGTTTCGCGATCTTTAGCTTTAGGATAAACTACTCAGAATGGTTTACATCTAAAGAAATTGATGAAAGAAACTGATACTCTAGCAACTGTCACAGAAAAGACTACTAATAAGTGTATGCACTCATATATTAATTAATTATTTCTTATTTACACCTATAAACATAAAATAAGTTACTCACCTTGTTTAACTTTGACAGGTTCTACAAACTACAATAAATATTTTACCTTGTTGAGAAAGCTTTGCCGAGTTGTGAATATTATATTGTGTGAAAATGGCGTCACGGCTTGTCAACAAAATGTTTTAGGTTCTTTTTTTTAACAAAAATTAGTTAATAACTGTATACACTTCTACAAATTAAATAAAAATATTATACTTATGACTGCAGAAACAATATTTTTCCAGCAGTCAGTAAAGTTCATAAATCTTTGCTGGGGACAGTCACGGATTGGAAATTTACTATATTTCAAGGTAATTTTAATACATTTTCAATACCTTATTGGGAGATGTTGTACATAATTTAAAGAAGCTGAGGATTGTTTTATCAGATCTATTCTTCACATTTCATTTTAGTTACGAAAATATTAAGTTCTAACCTCAGGACAGCAAGTGGCCAACTTTTTGAAATATACCCATATACAACATCGAAGCACGTTGCGCCGCATTGATTCATACACCAGCACGAAATGATGTCGACAAGTGAAGATGGTTTCGTTTTTCCTGACTCAGAGGTCATCATTGCTTTAGCCCCCCTATTCTGGATCTAAAACATTCGCCAACCATGCCTGCACAGGATGAAATGTTCAAAAAGAATGGTGTTTAGCCAATTCTGGAGGTGGTAAATTAGCCAGATCGGATTGGTTTTTCGCGATTCGTCCACGAGAACAGCTTCTAGATAATCAAGATGTTTTTTGTTACTTTCTTCATAAAGTGTATTAAAAATGTTTTACCCTGTTGATGCTATATTGATATTGTTGTAGCCAGATTTCTGTGATTAAAGAAGCTGTAAATTACAGCCTGTAATGGTTTCAAGAGGTTACAACCCTGATGGGAAAACATTTTTATTGCCCTATATGAAGGAAGAAGCAATAAAACAACGCTAGATCATGTCCTGCTTAATCTGTTCTCGTGAACGAATGGTGAAAATGAATTCCAATCTCGCTAATTTACCACCCACACAATCACTGGCATTCTCTTTGAACATTTTATCAGATTCATAGCTGAGGAAAGAGTAAAGCTAAAAACTTGATGACCTCAGAAGGGACGGTCCCATCATCACTGGTCTACATTATTTAGTGCTGCTGTACGAATCAATGCATGCTTTTCGACAGCTGCAGGTTTAAAATGTTTTGTAGTTTGCAAAACCGGGAAAATATGTTCAAATGCTCTAATTTTTATATTTTAGAAAATTTATGGGGCTAAAAAATTTTATCTTAATAATTTACCGTAAAATGTTTTTTACTTTTTATTGTGCAGTATACGGAAAAATTTATTTCTGCGTATATCTTTGTAAAAACAATTGTCAGGTGGTGCAAACTTATGCTTTTCAAATAAGCCCCTATCAATTTATGAAAAAAACCCAGGCAGTGCCTCGGCATGCAAGGTCAAATAACTGTTTGCCTGGACTACTAGACGATGTAAGCAAATGATTTAGAAAAATTTCGTATCATACATGGACGTATTAATATGTCTATGGTGTCATATATTTTAAATCCCCCATTTATGAACTGACTATGTGCTAAATCAAACCCTCAAAAAAGGAAACAAGGTTATTCATACTGTATGGACCATACAAGATATAGCGAATAAGCAGTATAGTTGTATAAGTATGTGGTCTGAAATTTATTACAATGCCATCTTTGTGTTCTGTGCTAAAACACAAACCCAGAGTCTAAAGTCAGAGACATGTAGATTCTCTACTTCTACTGCTTTTAAAATGTGGGCTAGAGAAAGAGCAGTGATGGTTTCAGCACATGGTGAGTGCTAGAAGCACATTTAAAAAGAGTCATACCAACTCTAGACACACAGGAGTGTTGTACATTGTTTACAAATCCCACATGTGCAAACCATCAATAGTATCATGCCATCAATGAATTCATCATTTCAGTAGATTATGTGCTTTTGTGATTGTTTACTATTTAATTAAAATATATATTTTTTAAATTTTATTAGAGTACATATATCGTGTTTAGTATCAAATATCACAATTTTAATTAAAATTACAATATTCAATATATCGATGGTTATTTGACAAAACATCGTAAGCGACAATTTTGTTAAATTACTTTTTATATTATCAAAGTGTCAGTTACGATAAGCTGCACATGTTAACATAATAGTTATCCCAATTTTGGAATCTAATATTGGTCAGTTTGAATATTTTAATTATTGTAAGCGCCTCTTCTTTTTAATTTGTTACCGATTTAGAACGTAAGCGCCTATATGTTCCCGACAAATAATCGTAAGCAACTCCGAGACATGGCGTTTGCGATTTAACATTGTGTCGCTTACGATAATATTTTGCTCCCGCCTTGATCTATCAAGGCGTTATTCCTGTTCTAAACAGTTTATTCGTGAGTATACCTGCATCGCGGTGATTGCTACCAAGTTTTAAAACAATATTTTATTTGATCAAAAGCTTATAATTACTTTATTTTATTGCATTATTAATAGATATCCTAATTATAATTGTTGTTACCTAGTGTGGTTCGTTAACCCGTAACTGGTAAGGTCACTTTTTTGTTACAAAACTGGTGAGGTGGGGTTTACCAAACCCAAAATGAAAACTCTACAGGGGGTAGCGAGCCTCGCACCATGATTTAATACGTGGTAAAGATTCTTAGAATGGGTCGGGTTTGGGAAACCCCACCTCACCAGTTACGGGTTAAAAGTGTTTTTTGTAGTAATTGTATGTTGTTTTAGAGTCAAATAATTTGACTCAAATTTATAACGGTTAGATCATGGTACCATGCATGGGTTAGATACTGATTTGTGAATAAAAATCGTTCTTTTTTTCAAAGAAAGCTAATGTATATTTTCATTTTCAAACATTGTTTGGCAAAATATCGTTGGTGATATTTCATAAATTAATTTTTTTGTAATTTTTTTTTATTTAATAATAAAAGAATTGTCGCCAACGATGTTTTGACAAAAGTAATCATCAAATCTATATCCCTTTGTGCACAAAGTAACGTAAATGTAACTTAAGCAACAAGACTAATTTTACATTTTCCTAAAGATGTTTTTATAAAATATCGTATGCCACAAAATTGAATGCAAATTTTAGATTGAATTCGATCTAACTTAAATAGGTATCTGAATTCTACATTAATAAAATAATGCCTCACCAGTTTTCAGATACATAACTTTAAAAATAAAGCTCCCACACAAAAAAAATCTCTCCTGTAAAATTTAGGTTTTGTCGCTTACAATGTTTTGTCAAATAACCACCGATATATGGAATATTGTCAATAAAATTGTGATATTTGATAGGTACTAAACAATAATAATGAATTATTCATTGTCACTTGTTTGTTAAAATTCTCTATTTGTATTTTTATTAAACTAGCTATTTGCAAATTTTGGTGAAATAAATTTTAGACTAAAACCACAGACCTAGGTAGGTCTGTGACTAAAACAGAAAATTTTAGTTCAATTTTTACTTCATTAGAATAATAAAAAAGTAAGTTTCCAATGGCAAAAAACTTAAAAAATCTCCATTTGATACAGTTTAAAAAAGAAAAATAAAATGCAGAAAAACATTAAAAAAAACTACAAAAAACGGATAATTTCTTACCTGTAATCATGTTTTTAATGTAATCGGCATGCCCAGGACAGTCAGTGTGTCCATAATGCCTGTTCTCTGTTTGGTACTCAATATGAGCTACATTAATTGTAATACCCCTGGCTTTCTCCTCAGGTGCATTATCAATATCCTGATACTTTTTAGCTTCAGCTAACTTAGCGTCAGATAAAACTTTTGTAATTGCAGCTGTTAAGGTTGTTTTGCCGTGATCTACATGCCCAATAGTGCCTACATTGCAATGGGGTTTAGTACGTTCAAAAACCTTTTTTTCCGCGTAAAACCGCCTTTGACTGTACGCTGGCAAACCACTTTGTATTATTTTGGAGTAGTTGTTGCATTTTTTCAACGTTGCGTTCAATAGCAATACTTTTAAGCTGCGATGTACGGCTAAAATAAAAAATGTACATAACCTTTAATATACATAATTTAAAAAAATGTGACTTACCTGGAGCAAGAGCTCTAGCAACAATAATAGAGGACATTTTTAATCAATTAAAAACAGTGTCACAAATAAAAAACTGTATTTTTAAAATTTTGATTTTTTACCTAGCGGCATGTGCCATTATTTAATCAGTAAATATGGCGACTTCAAAGTCGAAAAATCCCTAAAATGTCACTAAAAATAGCGCTTTGTTTGAATATTTGAATACATGATTTGATTCAAAACTGTTAACTGGGTTGCCTATGTGAATATAACAAAAATTAATATAGTAGAGTCAAGTGGGACCAGAAAATTTCACGAAATCACCGATTTTAAAAATAATCACATTATTGTGTGGTAGGCATGACGCAATGCGTCAGACGCATATGTCACAGTAAAAAATTTGTTTTAAAATTCGGTTTTTTGTTAATGTTATTGAAGTTAATAATTTTATAAAACTTAATAGCTCAGTAAAATTGAAAAAATAGAATCTCTGGGACCACCCTGTATAATTGAATTAAATTTTACACACTATTGTAGCAATGTTTCGACTATAGAATGATCATTTAATAAAGGTAAATTTATTTAAATAAAATAATTTTGCATACATTTATTATAAACAATTGAAATTTTTTATGTGTTCTTCACGCTGAAAAAAAATAATCTTGTGTCATAATATGCAGCAAACGTTTCCGTTTAATAAAATATATTTTATATATAGTCACGGCCAAATCTATATGGGTGCACGTCATCAATGAGATATAATGACGTCAGCATTACCAACTTTGAATTGTAAAGTTACTGCCGTTAAATTTGCTTTTTTAAGGCGTAATTCTGATGTGTTATTAAAAAGAAATCATTCATTTGCGTATTGTTTATCAAGAACTGTAACAATTTTCTTGTTTTAAAACGTTTTTTCACGAAATTATCAAAATAAAACCATTCACTTAGTAATTTTTGTGTGTGCCAGTTGGTAATAGCTTAAGGCTGGCGCGCACCGTTCAATATTATTGAGGGGTCGCTGTCATTTTATATTTGACGTATTTTTGTAATTGTGACATTTCGCCCGGAAGCATCGTTTGTTGCAAATTATTATAAATAATAATATACATTATGTTTATAAGATTCTATCCCTGGATTGTGCAAACAATGATATAAGGCTTGTTGGCAACTAGCCGTTATTAGATTTCGAAGAGATTGCGCCCTTAATAATAAATTTGGGGAAATAATCAGACTTCAATTCTGACCTGGTTTGCTCTGATGACAAGGACGACTGGTAATTTATTATTTTTGTGTTTCTGATAATTTAGTATTTTTTTGTTATGTGCATATGTAATAAAAATGTAATAAACTCCGTTTGTTTCCTCTTTAAACACATTTAATAAAAATTTGCCTGTAACAAACTCCTAATTAGTTAGTGCAGAAGATTATAACAAGGTCGTTATAATTCTATCTTAATAACAGCCCCCACCGCTATAAACAGTCAACAATACACGAGCGTTAGATTGTGTCTGGGCACGTATGAATAGACCTTAACGCTGACGTCATATGCCGTTGATGACGTGCACCCATACAGATTTGGCCGTGATTTTAGTATAGTCACGGCCAAATCTATATGGGTGCACGTCATCAATGAGATATAATGACGTCAGCATTACCAACTTTGAATTGTAAAGTTACTGCCGTTAAATTTGCTTTTTTAAGGCGTAATTCTGATGTGTTATTAAAAAGAAATCATTCATTTGCGTATTGTTTACCAAGAACTGTAATAATTTCCTTGTTTTAAAACGTTTTTTCACGAAATTATCAAAATAAAACCATTCACTTAGTAATTTTTGTGTGTGCCAGTTGGTAATAGCTTAAGGCTGGCGCGCACCGTTCAATATTATTGATGGGTCGCTGTCATTTTATATTTGACGTATTTTTGTAATTGTGACATTTCGTCCGGAAGCATCGTTTGTTGCAAATTATTATAAATAATATTATACATTATGTTTATAAGATTCAATCCCTGGATTGTGCAAACAATGATATAAGGCCTTTTGGCAACTAGCCGTTATTAGATTTCGAAGATATTGCGCCCTTAATAATAAATTTGGGGAAATAATCAGACTTAAATTCTGACCTGGTTTGCTCTGATGACAAGGACGACTGGTAATTTATTATTTTTGTGTTTCTGATAATTTAGTATTTTTTTGTTATGTGCATATGTAATAAAAATGTAATAAACTCCGTTTGTTTTCTCTTTAAACACATTTAATAAAAATTTGCCTGTAACAAACTCCTAATTAGTTAGTGCAGAAGATTATACAAGGACGTTATAATTCACAGACCTACAAACAACTTGTTTGTAGGTCTGTGTTATAATTCCATCTTAATAACAGCCCCCACCGCTATAAACAGTCAACAATATACGAGCGTTAGATTGTGTCTGGGCACGTATGAATAGACCTTAACGCTGACGTCATATGCCGTTGATGACGTGCACCCATACAGATTTGGCCGCGACTATATATATACTCAAAAATTTGTCTTTCATATGTCATTCCGGAGATATTAAATTTTTTGTCCCGTTGTGCGCTTGATCAGTACGCGGCGCGCTTCGTTGCTAGCTCGTCCGTTTTAACGTTTTAACTAAGGTTTCGCGTAAAAATCGAACAAATTTTGGACATTTGTTTGCAAGTGATGCCAGAATTGAATAATTTTTTTTAACCTTGTTTCTACATTTAAATGGTGCATTTAAAAAAAATTGTATCCATTGTTTCCATGTTTTGTAATAACATTTTTATTTAAAAACGTATCAATTTGAAGTTGGCAAAATCCACGTATTTTTTTAGATTTTAACCTGCAGGGGGCGCTGGGGACAATTTAATTTAAAATTTAACCGTTTTTTAAGGGTTAAAAAATCGAAAAATAGTTAGTTATTTTGCATTTTTTTATATTTAATATAATGCTATACAGGGTGTTTTTGGAGAAACGCAAACGATATGGATTTGAAATTTTAATAACGTAAACAATTTGATTTAGACTATATCTAAAGTCAATAGTTTTTATGATATTAATTTTATTTATTATATATTTAATTATGTAATTCATAGGGTTGAAATTTTTGAAATATTAAATTATTGTTTAAATAATTTAATTTTAAAGGTTTTTCAACAAATAGCTTGAGAAAAACCATTTGAAATTAGGCAACTTTAAACAATAATAACGTTTTTATTATAAATGTAAAACCTTGTATGTTTTATAACATAATCAAATAGAAAATTAAAGAATCTTTCGATTGGTATTATAATAAATGTTTCCTAAAGTTAAAATTTCAGAGACATTTAACAATTTCTAATATTTTCAATACTATTTTGTATCAAAAAACCAAATATGGGTGCGGTCTATGGTTACCACTTAATCTATGATTGTTTAAAATTAATTAAAATATTTCTTGAAAAATTAATAACCCGAAAAATATTGACTTCAGGTATAGGATATGGTATATCCAGTTTACTCAGAATTTTATGTAGAATTAAAAAATGTGAAAATATAAGAGGTGTCCTGTCTAAAATAACAAAGTTAAATACATTTCCGGTAAAACATAAAGTATTATTTTGTTCAAAATATGTAATTTAGGAAAAAAGTCTAAATCGAATAATTTACGCTATTAAAATTTTAAGTCCCTAAAAACTTCTAACGGACTACGTACTTGAAACACCCTGTATTTTAAATGAAATTTATGTGTTATGCTCAGGCCCGGACTGGCCAGGTCCGCAGGTCCGCGATCGCGGAGGGCCCCTGCCCGAGAGGGCCCCAAAGGGGTCCCCACATAATGTACAAAAAAAGTTTTTGTCTTGTTAGAAGTTATTTGGAGTTCTTGGTAATGTGTTTACATTTTCAAAAGTAGAACACTTCCAACAACTGTTTATATCTCGCCGTTTATACGAAAGCTTTATATGAGCTACTGTGTTGTGAGTTGAGTTACGTTATTGTGGTGTATCGTCTGCGCGGCCCCCCCTCTCCTACATATAATAACATCCACTCCCACCCCACACCATTGTTTAAAAAAAAAAAATATCTGAGTATAGCATTGCAATGTCAAATATTATTGCTTGTTCGTTTGATGGAGCTAACAACATGAAAGGCTGTTACAATGGGCTACAAGCCCATTTAAAAAAAGAAAATAAAGACCTTATTTATACTCACTGTATGGCACACGTACTGAACCTAGTTGTAGCTGACTCACAGACAGTAAAGTTACTACAAGCTGAGAACTTGTTTGGGTTGGTGGAAGAATCTGCGTTATTTCTTAGCTCATCGCACAAGAGAATGGCCGTCTGGGAAAAGGAAACAAAAAGAAAACATACTGCTCATGACAAGATTTACAGAGTGCAAAAAATAGAAGCAACTGTGTAAAATTGAAAGAAGTCGGCTGTTGATGGAGCTGCGACAGTTTGCACAACAATACAGCAACTTCATAGCGGCAGAGTCCACTGAGAACTACGGAGACAGATGTAATGACGAAGAAGACGATTTGGACCCAACCGAAGAATCGGAAAAAAATGCTGATATTTACTGCTCTGAAAATAGACAATGTTTCCAGTGTTTGACATGTGCTTTTTCTGTTCTGTTTGAACTTATATATTGCATATAAATTTATTCTTGCCATACCTTGTACCCAAGTCACATGTAAACGAGTTTTTTCTAAACTTAAAATAGTCAAAAATCGACTTCGGTCGTCTTTAGGCCAAGACCTTATGTCCAGGCTGCTTTTTATTAATGTTGAGAGGGATTTATTTTATAATTTGGACAAAAATAAAATAATAGATGAAGTAGCTTTAACAAGTGAGTTGCTTACAAAGAAGCTGTTACTTTAGGGCTAGAGAAGTAAAATGTCGAATCATCCCAGGTAAGTTAAGCCCCTTCTATTCTAGTATAACAATATTGTAAACTGTTAAATACACAGGATTTTTTTTTAAATGTTAGTATTATTTTTCTAATACCTAAAATCCGTATAACATTATTTTTATTACATTATTAATTTTGACATAATTCATTATACTTTGGTGTGAATAAAATACTGCACTTTATTTTGAACTCCTTTGTAATTATTGGCAGTTTTACAGCATGTGTTTTTTAGTGTTGTGGTATCCTAAAAATACTGTGAATTTCTTATTTTAATAAATAA